TTCCTCCCCGGGGGCTTTTCTTGCTCCCCTTTTCTGGCGCCCAGTTCTCCCTCTGCACCTCTCACTCGCTCGCCCGGAGGTTATACAAGGCTCTCTTGCCCGGCACTCCTCCCTCGAGGACTTTCTCGCTCCCTCCTTCCAGCGCGGAGTTCTCCTTCTGCCAGGGGGTTTCTGCTCCCCGGCAGTGTGTTCCTCTCCGTCCGTCTCTCTGGCTCACTCCCTCGTTCTCACATGGGGCTGGAGCCCCGGTTCCCAGCGACCGACCCCCGGGGGACCCAGACTCCTCCCTCGGTCAGCCCAGAGCCACTTCCCTTCTGCTGGCTACATCCCTCTTTGAGTTCCTCCTCACTCCCTCTTTTCCTTTCCATCACTCCGCTTCTCTGTCTGGTTCTTTCCTCCTTTCCATCACTCCGCTTCTCTGTCTGGTTCTTTTCTTTCTCCTTTTATCGCTTCCTCTCTTCCTTTCTTTAGCACTCCACCTTTCTTCTTCTTGTTCTTTCATTTCACTTTGTCTTCTTTCTGTCATCACTTCATCTTATTTCTTTCTCTTTCTGTTCCTCCACCTACCTCCCTCCCTCTTTCTTTCTTTCCCTTTGCCATCTCCCTCTTTCCTTCTCTCTCCCCATCTAGCCCAGGTGCCCCCCAAGGAGAAGCACAACCCCCTAGAGGCCCCAGCGCGGCTTCCCCAGCCCTGGGAGTTGGGGTCAACCCCTCCCTGGATCGGGAGGCCTAGGCTGGCCCCTCTCTAAGAAACCTTGCTCCACATGTGGCAGGGAGTTCCACAGAGTAATTGCATCAACATAACCATCCATTTGCCCCCCACACTCCTCCATCAATCCATGCATCCTTCCCTCCCCAGGGAGCTCTCCTCTTCCTCTACCCCCCTGTGTGGGGGACAGGATCTGGGCCCATCTGCCCCATCCCCCAGGCCAACACCCCCTCCACCCCACCCCCGCTAACCACCCATCCCATCCAACCCAGGGCTGGAGAAGGAACTTCTTGCCTGCCCATCCCCCACCCCGTGCCTCCACCACTGCCATCCCTCCTTCCAGCCCAACCTTTGCCCCCACTTGGCCTTGGGAGATGCTGATAATGGGGCCAGGCCCAGACTTTCCCCTGCCAGCGGGGCAATGTGCTGAGCCGGGGAAGTGGGGGTGAGGGGAAGAAAGGCATGGCAGGGGGTGGGCGGGTGGATGGATGGATCCCAGAGGTGGATGGAGGCCGGGGGTCACCGTGCGCCCTGGTCACGCACACTCTGACTGTGGAGTCAGGGGGCCAACGGCTGGTTCCCCAAGAGCAGAGTTGAGAAAAGGGAGGGGGAGAGAGCCACGGTCCCCTCACCCTCAGGAGCTCCCAGCACCTGGGCCTAGGGCCCCTCCCCATCCTGGGGGCACCCCCAGCCCCAGAGAGGGGCAGGAATTGAGGAGGGGGTACAGGATGCAGAGACCCAAGGGGAGGGGATCCTGCTGTGGGAGTGGGGGTGGGAGAGAGGCTAGAAGCTGTTCTCAGCCCCCACCCCCGGCACACACAGACCCCCACAGCCTGAGTCAAGGCTGAGCCTGCCCTGCCCCCCGGTGGCAGTGCCCCACCATGGCCCAGCCTCGCAGGGCAGCTCTAGTGGGACTTTGTGGCCCCTCCCACGCCCCAATTGCCTCCCTCCTCCAGCCCTCCAGACCCCCCACTCCCTCCCTACTCCCCTCTCCCTCCCTCCCCAACCCACCCCACCCCTCTCTACTCCCTCCCTCCCCCCCAACCCCCCACTCCTCCCTACTCCCCTTCCCCCAACCCCCCTACTCCCTCGCTCCTCAAGCCCTCCCCCAACCCACCCACTCCCTCTCTACTCCCCCCTTCCTCCTCCAGCCTTTCCCCAACCCATCCCACTCTACTCCCGCCTCCCTCCCTCCTCCAGCCCTCCCCACTCCCTCTCTACTCCCTCCTCCCATCCCCCCCAACCCCCCACTCCTCCCTACTCCCCTTCCCCCAACCCCCCTACTCCCTCGCTCCTCAAGCCCTCCCCCAACCCACCCACTCCCTCTCTACTCCCCCCTTCCTCCTCCAGCCTTTCCCCAACCCATCCCACTCTACTCCCGCCTCCCTCCCTCCTCCAGCCCCTCCCCACTCCCTCTCTACTCCCTCCTCCCGTCCTCCCCAACCCCCCACTCCTCCCTACTCCCCCTCCCCCAAACCCCCTACTCCCTCCCTCCTCCAGCCCTCCCCCAACCCACCCACTCCCTCTCTACTCCCCCCTTCCTCCTCCAGCCTTTCCCCAACCCATCCCACTCTACTCCCGCCTCCCTCCCTCCTCCAGCCCTCCCCACTCCCTCTCTACTCCCTCCTCCCGTCCTCCCCAACCCCCCACTCCTCCCTACTCCCCCTCCCCCCAAACCCCCTACTCCCTCCCTCCTCTAGCCCTCCTCCAACCCACCCACTCCCTCTCTACTCCCCCCTTCCTCCTCCAGCCTTTCCCCAACCCATCCCACTCTACTCCCGCCTCCCTCCCTCCTCCAGCCCTCCCCACTCCCTCTCTACTCCCTCCTCCCCAACCCCCCACTCCTCCCTACTCCCCCTCCCCCAAACCCCCCACTCCCTCCCTCCTCCAGCCCTCCCCAACCCACCCCACTCCCTCCCTCCTCCAGCCCCCTCCCAACCCCCGCTCCACTGCTCCCTCCTCCCCCTCCCCAGCCCCGCCCCGCCCCGCCCCCTGGCCTCGCGCCGCGGCCGTTGCGACTCCCTCCGCTTTCCCGCCCGTTCCAACGGTCGCTCCCCGCCTCGTGCCCTGAGGTGACCGTTGGGCGGCTGGAGGGAGGGGCGGTTCTGTTTGAGTCCGGGGGGGGGAGGGGATAGTAACCCCCCTCAGTGCTTCCTCCCTAGGGCACAGCCTGCTAATTAGCTCCCCCTAAGTAGCCACGGCCAGCTAATGAATTAAACCCTTCTCCCCGGGGGACGATAACTCATGGCAATAACCTGGCCATGGCCACCACCCCATTAACCCCTCCCCGAGCTAATTAACCTCTTGGCTCTGTCCCAGCAGCCCCATTCCCCCAGCATCTAAATTAGAAACCCCAGTCATTAAGGCCTTTGCCAATAATAGCCTGGGCACAGCTAATTAACACAGGTAATTAATGCGTTAATAAAGACTAATATTGACCCCCCAGTCGCCCATGGCGCCTAACACCCAACTGATCCCCGCAGGGTAATTAATATGTTAAGGATAGCCTCACGGTAGCCAATCACCCTGCGGGAATGTCATTCATATCAATAACGATCATTAATATCACTGGCATTACTATCAAAAAAATATTAATTAACATCCCCCCTAATTTACATCAATAACGAGAGCCAATCACCCCTAATTAACATCATTCATACATAGCCCAGAGTTAATTAAATAACCAATAATCCCTCATTAATAAAGGGGCTACAATTAATAACCTCCAATATAATCAATACACCATACTCAGGAAACAGTCATTCAAAAGCCAACATGCCGGAAAAACCCATAATTAACATGGAGCCCATAATTAGCTTGTTCTGAATAATTAGCAAATTGATGACAGGCCATGATTAAAGGACTCATAAATATTAAATACTGCCTCAAAGGCCCATGGTAACAGATAAATAATCAATCAAAAGACAACCAAGAGCCAGACAATTAGTGAACAATCTGAAATAACTAGTAAATATCCACAATATTTTGTTGTAAAGAAATAACCCATAAAATAGGCCTAATTAAATACATGATGCTATTCATAAATAACCCACCAGACATAATAGAATAATACACAAAAGAAAAACGGCCACTTATAACAAAAGAACCACTGCCCAGAATACATATTCACAGATTATTAATGATTATTGGCAGAATTCAATTTTTATTTTGTTATAATTTTGATGGATCACATCAGTGTTTAGACATTTTTTCTTGATTTAAATTGTGCAGAAAAAAGAGTTAAAAGCATTTTTTTTCTAGTTTTACTTATTTAAATTTTCACCATTGTGGGAAATTAGAGCGGGATCGATAATGGGTGGGTGTCAGACAGTAATTATTTAATGATGGTAGACACTGAAATTCAAAAAGTTAAAGCTTTATAACTGATAAACACAAACGGTCACATGACAAAACATACACAGTCAATAGTCAGAAATCAAACTCCAATCATTTCTGAAGTAGTGGCTGTAACTTTCAATTATTATTGATGGAAAAGTTTTGTGTGTCTGCAGCGAAATCAATGTTTACTAATGTTGGCAATAAAAATCTGATCCTTCCAAGCCCAAAAATAATCCACAAAGGATGAATGGCCACTAATGACTGATGATAACTAAAGAAACCATATCAGAATAGAGATTCATAGATTATAAAGCCAGAAGGGACCATTCCATCTGAGCTCCTGGATGACAGAGGCCAGAGAACTGCCCTAAATATTTTACATCGGTTATTGATAAAAATCAATGGTCAATTAGCAAATAATTAACACTATTTGTTAACAATATTTTATAGTTAAGTGGTTATACATAATTAATAATAAATATTTAATAGCTAATAAAGTAAATAACATTTCAGTCAATAGACTACCATCATTAAAGTGTTAAGAAATAAAAATCAATATTAAAAAGTTAATTAATCATACATATTTGTTTCATTAATAAGGAACTTGATCACTTTTATCCAGCCATCACCATACATACCCTTCCACCCATCCATCCCCCGAACACCATCCATCCCTCTAGCTTCCCCCGCACTCTGCCTTCGATCAATCCATCCCCATACACACCCATTCATCCACACAACCCTCCCTCATCCCTCCCTCCATCCTCACACGCACTCACCCATCCCATTATCCATCCATGTCTCCATCCTTCTCCATCCATCTGTCCCTGGATCTATCCACCTACCCCCATTTATCCCCCCCTTCCAGTGCAGGCCGGCCAGAGCTAACTCCTCCTTGTCCATGTCCCGCACAGCATGGATTGGTTCCATTGCAACCAGTGCTTCTGCCAAGATGGTGCTGACTTCTGCATCACCAGCTGTGGACACCTCTTCTGCAGGAAATGCTTTGCTGCAGGTGAGGTTCAGGGCATGCTCCGTGCTTTGCCCCCTGGGTTCTGAGGGGCAGGGAATGGGGTCCGGCCCCCTCCAGAAGCCTCTGGGACCATGCACATAGTGGGCCATCATTGGAGCCCCCTGAAAAATGCTTCAAAAATGTTTCCTTCAAAAATGTTTCCTTCAAAAACTAAATTTCTCTGAAAAATTTTCCCTCCCCCCCAAAAATCATTGTTGATTCGTTTTGAGAAGAGATTTTCAACCATTGCATTTTTCTCAAAATTTTCCGCCTTGAAGATTAATTTTTTCTTTTAGAAAATCATTTTGATGAAGTTCAAGAGGAAACTGACATTTGTCATTTAGCGACACAGGAAAATTCCTGTTTTCTGTGTTTTTTTAACTTTGCCCACCCTTGGCCCATTGGAAAAAGGAGGGGGAATGTTCAAACTATAAAGAAAGTGAGGGGGGAAACCCATATTTGCACCCTCACTAACTTTTTCTGACTGGAAAAATTGTGAAAATAATAGAAAATAGGGAAAATAGTTGGTGAGAGTTGCACTATTTCCCCCAACTCAAAAAATATGGGGGAATGGGGTGGGGGAGATGATAGAAAATCTCTTTTCCACCCTCTTTTCCGGGGGGGAAAGTAAAAAGCGAGTTCTTCCCCACATTTCACACATTTTTCTCCCACAGGAAAAGTGCAAAAATAGCTTTAAAAATGTTAAAAAGCGAGAGAAAGTACCTTTTTTAAAAAATCAGCTTTTTCCAGTGGAAAAAATAAAGTAAAAAGGAAGCAAAAATGTTTTTTTCCTGCATTTTCTCTCACTTTCACACTCTCTGTTTCACTAGAAAACAAGGGAGGGGAATAGTAACAGAGTGCCTTGCCTGCACACACAAACTGTACCACTTCAACTCCCTGGCTTAGTTAAATCATTCTGTACAGAACTTGCAACCACAATAAAATAAAATAATAATAATAATCACTTGTTTCAACCCTTGCAGAGAAATGTCCCATTTGTGGAGTGACCTGCAAATATCTGTGTCTTGCCAATAATGTGAGTTGCTCTCCTCCTTTTCTACCATTCTCCCTTCCTTCTCTCGTCTACATATGCAGGGTGATGCTGGTTTAACTAGAGATATGGTCTTTACCCAGTTGTGATTTCAATTTAGCATAAGGCTCTTTTGGAGTTTTAGCCCTGAACAATTTTGCTTTGGTTGTTTCAGGTCCCCAAAATGATCTGTTCATGTTGGCTCAAAAGCTCCAGGAGGATCCTGGTGTATGGGCCTCTGACCACTTCAGGTGTCCACGGTCCTCCCTGAAAATCCCCCAGGAAGCCTGAAAGCAGTGCAAAGGACTCTGGGATGCAGGTCCACAGTGCAGCATATGTGGCTTGAAGGTGCCCTACCAAAATAGCCCATATCTGATGGCTGAGCTTTGAAAGGCTCTTCCATTCTTAATTGAAAGACTTCAACCCAAAATTGGAGATGTGCAAATTTGTGCAAGCCTCACCATCTTAATCCCAAGTCTTGTGTTGATTTGTTTCAAGTCCCAGCTTTCAGAGCCGCTGACCCAAGTAATCAAACATACCATGCATCAGCCCCTAGAATAACCATGATTGCCTTTCAAAGCATGAGCTTGTATGAGATCATAAATTGGGGGTTCTTTTCCTTTGCTTCAGTTGTATTCACATTGTCAAGCCTTCCACCCCAGTCATGAAGGCTAGAAACATAGGGATTTTTTGGTATAAATGAAAGCTGAAACTCTCCCATAATCACGGTGCTGTGGGTGCTGACAACTAGCAAAAAATCACAAAAGACTGTGCGGCTCGGGATAAAATCTCCAGAGCTTTCTAGCCTTAGGTTTTATTAAACTGAGGCACATATGTTTGTAGATATGTCTCTCTCGATCTTCATTCAGATGTGCCCTTCAGATGCCAGTCCCTTTTGCCTGGATTGCATCACTGGGGGTGTCATGATCCAAGCCGGGTGGGAGCTGCTCCGTACTTGCTTTGCCTATTTCTTTCTTGCCCACAGATGAAACCCCAAGAAAAGGTCTTTTTCAAGAGCCCGGTGGAAACGGCCCTCAAATATCTGGCCCACATCTCCCAGGTAAGGGGTAGACAGGTCCCCATTGGAGGGGGCAGATCAGAGCCGGCACCCCCTAGAGGGGAAAGCCTCCATCCAAGGTAACTATAGGCCAGGAAACAATCCCGGGCTAAAGTATGAACATGCTATATGGGACTCAGTTGATGAAGAATTAAAGGACAGAGGTATAATCAACACCAGTCAGCATGGTTATATGGAAAACTGCTCAGCCAAACACACCTGACCTTCTTCTCTGAGGAGATCACAAGTTTTGTTGGTAAAGGTAACTGTAGATGTGACCGGATTTTGTAAGGTGTTTGACACAGCACCGCCTGACACCCTGATTAAAGAACGGGCAGGGATCCAATGTCAATGGTGCACATGTTAAGAACTGGCTAAGGGACAGATCTCAACAAATAGTTCTTGACGGGGAATCACCATCCAATGGGGACGTCTCTAGTGGGGTCGCACTGAGAGAGGTCAGCTCTAGGCCTGGCAATCTTCAACACTGTATAAGGAATAGCTACAGTGGATTTGTCAAGAACAATCATGCCAAACCAGCCTCCTTTGACAGGGTTACTGGCTTAACAGATGGGAGGCAGCCGTAAAGGTGATATGGCTTGATGTTAGTAAGGCTTTGACACAGCAAACTCGGGAAATCTGATCTTGATGATACTGCAGATGGGTGCACAACTGGTTGAAAGACCATCCTCAAATATGACAGGTTTCAGAGTAACAGCCGTGTTAGTCTGTATTCGCGAAAAGAAAAGGAGTACTTGTGACACCTTAGAGACTAACCAATTTATTTGAGCATAAGCTTTCGTGAGCTACAGCTCACTTCATCGGATGCATCCTCAAATAGTAGCTATCTATGGTTCACTAGCAAACTGGGAGGGTGTATTAAGTGGTATCCCACAGGGGTCAGTCCTGGGTCGGGTCTGTCAAGGTTCCTTCCCCACTCTGAACTCTAGGGTACAGATGTGGGGACCTGCATGAAAAACCCACTAAGCTTATTTTTACCAGATTAGGTTAAAACTTCCCCAAGGTACAAACTATTTTTCCTTTTGTCCCTGGACTTTATTGCCGCCACCACCAAGCGTCTAACAAATATAATCGGGAAAGAGCCTACTTGGAAACGTCTTTCCCCCCAAAATTCCCCCAAGCCCTACACCCCCTTTCCTGGGGAAGGCTTGATAAAAATCCTCACCAATTTGCATTGGTGAACACAGACCCAAACCCTTGGATCTTAAGAACAAGGAAAAAGCAATCAGGTTCTTAAAAGAAGAATTTTAATTGAAGAAAAAGTAAAAGAATCACCTCTGTAAAATCAGGATGGTAAACACCTTACAGGGTAATCAAATTAAAAAAACAGAGAATCCCTCTAGGCAAAACCTTAAGCTACAAAAAGACACAAAACCAGGCATATACATTCCATTCAGCACAACTTATTTGATCAGCCATTTAAACAAAAGAGAATCTAACGCATACCCAACTAGATTGCTTATTAACCCTTTACAGGAGTTCTGTATTCCTGCATTCCTGCTCTGGTCCTGGTAAAAGACAACACACACAGAGAGAACCTTTTGTTTCCCCCCCTCCAGCTTTGAAAGTATCTTATCTTCTCATTGGTCCTTTTGGTCAGGTGCCAGCGAGGTTATCTTAGCTTCTTAACCCTTTACAGGTGAAAGGGTTTTTCCTCTGGCCAGGAGGGATTTAAAGATGGTTAGCCTTCCCTTTATATTTATGACAAGCCCCCCAAATCACAGATAGGCTGGCTGTGATTTCTTCCTGGAGCTCAAGGAGAAAACAGAGTTAATAAGACACATGCACCTCTAAATATACTACCAAGTATATAAAGACTAACAATATTTTCCACATTTCAAGGATGATTTTAACCAGTTGATTCTTGGAAACTTTCATGGGAGAGTGCATCAGCCACTTTGTTAGAAGCTCCTGAGATGTGTTGGATGTCGAAATCAAAATCTTGGAGAGTGAAACTCCACTGAATAAGTTTTTTGTTATTTCCCGTGGCGGTATGAAGCCACTGTAGCGCAGCATGGTCGGTTTGCAGGTGGAAACGCCATCCCCAGACGTATGGGCGTAGCTTTTCTAGAGCGTAGACAATAGCTTAACATTCTTTTTCACTGACTGACCAGTTGCTTTCCCTCTCAGACAGCTTCTTGCTGAGAAACATTACAGGGTGGAATTCTTGATCCGGTCCTTCCTGCATTAAAACTGCTCCCACACCACGGTCGGACGCATCTGTGTTTACTAGGAACTGTTTGTCAAAGTCTGGGGCCCTTAGCACAGGGTCAGACATGAGTGTCACTTTAAGCTGGTTAAAGGCCTTCTGACACTCTTCGGTCCACTGAACGGCATTTGGCTGTTTCTTTTTGGTTAGGTCTGTCAGTGGGGCGGCGATTTGGCTGTATTGCGGTACAAATCGCCTATAATATCCGGCCAAGCCTAAGAAGGATTGAACCTGTTTCTTTGACTTTGGGACAGGCCACTTTTGGATAGCATCCACTTTGGCCTGTAGGGGGCTGATAGTTCCTTGACCCACCTGGTGTCCAAGGTAAGTCACTCTGTTTCAGCCTATTTGACACTTCTTAGCCTTAACAGTTAGTCCTGCCTCCCTTATGTGCTCAAGGACTTTTTGTAGATGTTCCAGGTGTTCTGCCCAGGAATCCGAAAATATGGCCACATCGTCAAGGTAGGCGACTGCATATTCTCCTAATCCCGCTAGGAGACCATCTACAAGTCTTTGGAAGGTGGCGGGTGCATTCCACAGCCCGAAAGGGAGTACATTAAATTCATACAGCCCGAGATGTGTGGTGAAGGCTGACCTTTCCTTGGCAGATTCATCTAGTGGTACCTGCCAGTACCCCTTGGTTAAGTCCAAGGTAGAGATGAACTGGGCCCGTCCCAGTTTCTCTAATAGTTCATCTGTGCATGGCATTGGATAGTTGTCTGGGTGAGTTACTGCATTTAGCTTACGGTAGTCCACGCCAAAACGTATCTCCCCATCTGGTTTGGGAACTAGAACCACTGGAGATGCCCGTGCACTGCCAGAGGGGCAGATTATACCTATCTGTAACATATCCTGGATCTCCCGGTCTATAGCAGTTTTAGCTTGAGGAGACACCCGGTAAGGTTGGACTTTAATTGGGTGAGCATTACCTGTGTCAGTGGAGTGGTATGCCCGTTCAGTCAGTCCTGGGGTGGCTGAGAACGTTGGCGCGTAGCTAGTGCACAGCTCCTTGATCTGCTGTCGCTGCATACGCCCAAGAGTCAGGGAGAGGTTCACCTCTTCCATACCACCAGCACTTTTCCCTTTGTAGTAGACACCTTCAGGCCACTCAGCGTCCTCTCTGCCCTGGGCTGTAAACTGACAAACCTTTAATTCTCTGGAATAAAAGGGCTTTAGAGAATTAATATGGTACACCTTAGGCTTTCGGTCGGAGGTGGGGAATGCTATGAGATAATTAACAGCTCCCAGGCGCTCCTGGACCGTGAATGGCCCTTCCCACGATGCTTCCATTTTATGGGCCTGGAGCGCCTTTAAGACCATGACCTGGTCCCCTACTTTGAAGGAACGCTCTCTGGCATGTTTATCATACCAGGCTTTTTGCTCTTTTTGAGCATCCTGTAAGTTTTCTTTAGCAAGGGCTAAAGAGGTTCGGAGGGTGTTTTGTAGGTTGGTTACAAAGTCCAGAATGACAGGTTTCAGAGTAACAGCCGTGTTAGTCTGTATTCGCAAAAAGAAAAGGAGTACTTGTGGCACCTTAGAGACTAACCAATTTATTTGAGCATGAGCTTTCGTGAGCTACAGCTCACTTCATCGGATGCATACCGTGGATACTGCAGCAGACTTTATATACACACAGAGATCATGAGACAATACCTCCTCCCACCCCACTGTCCTGTTGGTAATAGCTTATCTAAAGTGATCATCAAGTTGAGCCATTTCCAGCACAAATCCAGGTTTTCTCACCCTCCACCTCAGCCTGGTCCAGTCCACACAAGAGATCCACTTCCTGGACACTACAGTGCTAATAAACAATGGTCACATAAACACCACCCTATACCGGAAACCTACTGACCGCTATTCCTACCTACATGCCTCCAGCTTTCACCCTGACCACACCACACGATCCATCGTCTACAGCCAAGCTCTGCGATACAACCGCATTTGCTCCAACCCCTCAGACAGAGACAAACACCTACAAGATCTCTGTCAAGCTTTCTTACAACTACAATACCCACCTGCGGAAGTGAAGAAACAGATTGATAGAGCCAGAAGAGTTCCCAGAAGTTACCTACTACAGGACAGGCCTAACAAAGAAAATAACAGAACGCCACTAGCCGTCACCTTCAGCCCCCAACTAAAACCCCTCCAATGCATTATTAAGGATCTACAACCTATCCTAAAGGATGATCCAACACTCTCACAAATCTTGGTAGACAGGCCAGTCCTTGCCTACAGACAGCCCCGCAACCTGAAGCAAATACTCACCAACAACCACATACCACACAACAGAACCACTAACCCAGGAACTTATCCTTGCAACAAAGCCCGTTGCCAACTGTGCCCACATATCTATTCAGGGGACACCATCACAGGGCCTAATAACATCAGCCACACTATCAGAGTCGTTCACCTGCACATCCACCAATGTGATATATGCCATCATGTGCCAGCAATGCCCCTCTGCCATTTACATTGGTCAAACTGGACAGTCTCTACGTAAAAGAATAAATGGACACAAATCAGGTGTCAAGAATTATAACATTCATAAACCAGTCAGAGAACACTTCAATCTCTCTGGTCACGCAATCACAGACATGAAGGTCGCTATCTTAAAACAAAAAAACTTCAAATCCAGACTCCAGCGAGAAACTGCTGAATTGGAATTCATTTGCAAATTGGATACTATTAATTTAGGCTTAAATAGAGACTGGGAGTGGCTAAGTCATTATGCAAGGTAGTCTATTTCCCCTTGTTTTTTCCTACCTTCCTCCCC